AATTGCGAGATAGCTTAAGTATTACAAGATTAAAAATTCAAAAAACAAAAACGTTCTTTTATTTTTAAATTCTCTTATCTCAAAATTCTTCAAAGTTTCAGGGATTTTATTTATCAGGTTAAATCTTGTTTCTGATATTAGCCACTGGATTGCAACGTTCAATCGGAGAAGCAACTCCTATGTTCCTTGCTTGCATCTTTATTTTGGATCTATAACATAGGTAGCAATACACATGATACACAGTTAGGAGTGTAGTTTCGCATTTTGGCCCCGGTGTATTTTTTATTTGATTTGATTGATTGATTGATTGGTGTTTAACGCCACTTTCAATTGTTTTTATTGGCAGAGGAAGCCGGGGTGCCCAGAGAGAAACACCGACCTTCGATAGGAAAACTGACAATCCTAGTCAATTAAGATTTGAGTCGAGTGCACCTGATTAAACTCGCAACCTCGGTGATGACTGGCTAGTAGTACAGTAGTTGGACTGCCAACGAGATGTATTTTTGAAGTATGAAAGTTATTGTGCAATAAAGTTCATTTTTAGACAGCTGATGACTAATTAAAACTTTAAAGTGTGTTCATAGGAACATCAAGATTATTTTTCACATGTTTTATAGGCTATTTTCTGATTGACAGTCCGTATTTTCATATCCAAACCGGCCATACGTACAGAAATGAATGTAATGTTAACAAACACTTAAAGTTAGTTCACACGATTGACAGTCCGTATTTTCATATCCAAGCCGGCCATACGTACAGAAATTAATGTAATGTTAACAAACACTTTTTTTCACACGTACTTTTTGACGCAATTTTACGAAAAAAATGAGACGGAAGACATATGATTTTTATTTGATTTCTTGAGAGATAAATATCAATAGTTTCAGAAAAAGTATCGCTCCAAGGAATTGAAATTCTACTTTTGATCAAATTTTGGGACATCTTAAAAACCCTTTTTGCAATATTTTATAGCAAATAAATGCAGATTGTTGCCATGGATACACCAAAAACGAAATTACATTTAACCATTTTAAGTACTTTAAATCAAATCTATTGAAGATACTTATTACATACATATTCACATATATAACACAAACAGTAAGCTTGATTTGCAAGAAAGCAAAGAAACGGGGATGGTAAAATTTATAAGTGTAAATTTTGTTATTTTTTTCCTAACTGTATTTTGCTACCTTAAACCTTTTCAACGGAAGGGACTAGAGGAGAACCGATGAAAAATGTCGAAAACTCCAAAGCCATTCGACAAAACAAAATACGCTCAGACTTGGGCATACGAACTCCGGAAAAAAAACAGTAGGACACCAGTTTTAACGGAAGATTAAGCATATCCTGCTATTATGCAGTACTTGATTTATTGTTCTGTAGAAATTGAAAGCCAGTGAGATTAAATATCTGGCATTGAACACGTGTTCAGGTTTCTCTTGTGCAGAAAAGTATTTGCTGTACCGCATATGCGTCATTTCCTTATTAAACTTTGATAGGTGAACTCGGTGCAGCTATTTGTCATTCTTGAACACAAATCCCTTTTCAATGATAACTATCAAAATCATAAACAAAGAAAAGCAACAGGATTACATGTTAGATAAACTGGGTTTAAAGTATTTTTGAAGGACATGTATGTATACCTCTTCAGATTTCAAACACGCGACACGTTAAATGGAAAATTTACTAGACAAACGAATTAAAACTTTGGCGCCAATTAACCAGGAATAACTACAGACAAAAATGATAGCTTAGGAAGAATGTGAAATATTGACATTTAAAACTATAAATAAAAAGTCCATATCTAATTATATACAATCCGATAGAGTATTTGATATTGTAATAATAACTTAATTGATTAAATATATATATTGACTGATTGATTGATTGATGTATTACTGAACATTCGTGATATTTAGGACAACTGACTAACCATAATAAGATATAAATTCTTGAGGCTCTGAAAATGGGTAAATCTGGAGAATATGATTGTGTTTATTTTGAAATAATTTAATTTTGGATGTAACACGTTTTCTGATTGGCTGACAGTGTTTTGTCTATAAGCTCATAGACATCATTTTGTCATGTGACCGTGACGTCATCAAACGTTTTTTTTCATGATTAACTCCTCTCCTTAAAAATGGAATTTAGAATCAAATTGTATGACTGCAATATTTTTTCTGTCTATTCGAAATAACCTCAAAAATGTGGTGCACACTTTTAAATAACGCGCTATGCGGGTTATTCGTTGTGCACCACATTTTTGAGGTTATTTCTTCATAGACAGAAAAAATATTACAGCCTTTCCTTAAATGCAACTGGAATATTATATGGCTTTTTGAAAATCGAAGTTGTAGGTACAACATGTCACCAGCATTAAAAGATTAGCGTGAACCTTAATTTTTAGCAGAAAAGTGCGTTTTTTAAATTTTCAATGCTCTCTGTACCAAATTATTGGGTTAATGGATAAAACATTAAAAACACAAAATAACCCAGGAGATTTTCAACTTTGATAAACTAGCTTTTATAATCCGTTACAGTTCAAAAGAATGAACAAGATTTTTCAGATTATTAACCAAATAGAAGGAAAGGCGGGTCTCTTGGATACTTATCTGATGTTATTAATTCAACTTTCTGTAAAATGTAACTGTAGTTTATATATAAATCGTTATCTGAATAATTACACTCTGTCGATACTGTTACCCCGCACATTTCGATAATTTTCGCCACAAAATTGATTTATGAAATATGCAGTATGAGATTAAAGATAATTAACTCTTCTGTTTTGTTGTTTGATATCTGTTTAGAAAATTAATATCAAAATAATAATGGTTAGTTTTATTTTGATTGTTTTGAATTATTGTTACAGTGGAAAGCTGAATGATCCTATCAGAAAGTTAAGAAGGTAAAACCCGGTAAATACAACAATAAAGTATTGGCAGATGTTTAAATCATGTTTAGGAATGCCAGTAAAGCTAATGTTATATAAAGAATGCTATAGAAGTCGGTAACTACCAAGAGCAAATCGAGAAATCATTATTCGTCTTGTTCCATAGACTGCATAGTATAACAAGGCAGCAGTAACATTTTTTCTATTTTCTCGATTTCCACAAGTTTTCCTTCAAATTCAAATTCATACTAGATGTGAAACGATAAATTATTGATTTATGTGCAATAATGGCATATGAAATCATTATTTTTCACATTTAGTAGGGACATAGATTAGTAAGTAGGTACGACAATTTGCGAGAGGATTCTGTTCAGTACATCCACGCAACCACCGTTGAACTTGCCCATAATTGTCCTTTGGTTCTTAACGGAAAGTTGTTTGATGGTAATCATATCAAATCTCCCTTTTTTGTTATATTCTGATTTTAAATGCAGCTAGCATTTCCGAAAGATATGTTTGATATATGACAAAACATAATGATAATCCAAAGTGCAATTGTCCTGATAATTGATCAAATGTCCTGCTAGACCGATTTTTTTCCCATCTAAATGATCATCAGGTAGTACTAGTACAATATTTTCTAATTATTCAAGATAAGGTTAAGGCACAGTGATCTGTTGTACATATTGCAAAACAATTTTTTATCATTTTTTGTCAGAAACGGTTCAAACCATCAGTAAATATTCCTATTGCATTGTACCCATTTTATTCTGAAATGCCAGGTGAGCCATACAGGCTCTTTTGAGTCTAAAGTGTAAAACCACATCACTTTTTTTGTTTTCAAGTGGCATTTCCCGCAAAGAAATCAAACGGAAGCGGAAACATGTTTTATTGTTATACAATATTGTTATTAGATGTTTTCCGATAACAAAAAGCTTTTCAACTCACTTCTTATCATCGAATTCAACTTTTGATTCTTTTACCTCGGACAGAATGCGGTTTCAAAATACGTTACGCAGAACATTTTTTTTACAAGTTCATCTTTCATTTCCATGTCAAAATTTCCTAAAAATATCAAGAGATTTGGTGTTCTTCTCTGTTCTACTTTGTTTTTTTGTATATTTTTGTTGAATAAGAGTATCATTTATCTGGCAACAAATTACAGTATTTGCAAACAGACTTTACCAATTGATATCTATTGTTTGTTGATTATGCCTGTCATGCTATCTACAAACGCCTATGTATGTATTAATGTAGGTTGAAATCATGTTAGGTACCGTTTCCATATGCAAGGCCTTCAAGAAAATGGCAACAACAAGAAGTTGATGTTAGGTACCTTTTCCATATACAAGGCCTTCAAGCAAATTACAACAAAAACAAGTTGATAGTAGGTACAGTTTCCACATGCAAGACCTTCAAGCAAATGGCAGCAATAACAAGTTGTTGTTAGGTACCGTTTCCACAAGCAAGGCCTTCAAGCAAATGACAACAACAACAAGTTGATGTTAGGTTGTTAGGTACCGTTTCCACAAGCAAGGCCTTCAAGCAAATGACAACAACAAGTTGATGTTAGGTACCGTTTCCACATGCAAGGCCTTCAAGCAAATGGCAACAACAAGAAGTTGATGTTAGGTACAGTTTCCACATGCAAAGACCTTCAAGCAAATGGCAACAACAACAAGTTGATGTTAGGTACAGTTTCCACATTCAAGGCCTTCAAGCAAATGGCAACAGCAACAAGTTGATGTTAGGTACAGGTTCCACATGCAAGGCCTTCAAGCAAATGGCGACAACAACACGTTGGATACCGTTATCACATGCAGGCCTTCAAGCAAATGACAACAACAACAAGGTGATGTTAGGTACCGTTTACACATACAAGGCCGTCAAATAAATGGCAACAACAAGTTGATGTTAGGTACCGTTCCACATACAAGGCCCTCAAGCAAATGGCAACGACAAGTTGATGTTAGGTGCCGTTTCCATATGCAAGGCTTTCCAGCAACTGTCAACAACAACAAGCACAAAAGGCTTTGATTCATTTATTTCACGAGATTGTTGTATATATCACTCTACATAAAAATTTTCGCAGTAAAAATATTTTTCTTACCTATTGATGAACATACTAAAATCAAAAGCACCAATACCTTCCCCAAGGGGAACATCTTCTTCGCCTGAAAAATACAAATTGATTCATCAGACTAGAATTTAAGTTTTGCATGGTTTTACATTTGGGAGAAATTTAAAAAAAAACCAAGCAGCATTAAAGATCTGTATAAATATGGATTTGAACTAAGTTCAATCCCATGTTGATAGAATAAACATTAAACAACAATGCAACGATTTATTCTATAATTTGTGAGTTAAACTAGAGGGACGTTTCCTGTTCCCCTGGACATGAATGACTGGTTACTTGAATATTGCTTGCCTAATGTCCAGTGGCAAATATGTTATGAAAATTCAGACAAAAACAAATTAACAATTGAGCTGCGTCGGATAGAAATCGACCTTATGTAAGTGCACGTATGCATGTACATGTATACGACATTGATTGATTTTATAACATTCAAATACGAAATAAAAGGTGAATGCTGGTGTGTTTTGTAGAGTTCTTATGACAGCTCAATTTTCAAACAGTTACAGACTTCCCGAAGAGATTTTTTTCATTCTTAAATAGGTTAACAGATGTATTAATATTCATTTGCATAAAGTCGATTTCTATCCGACGCAGCTCAATTAATACAATAGGTAGGCTCTGCAAAGTATGTCGACCATGATGAGGACTGCCAAAGAAAAATGAGTGTATGTGAATTGAGGTTAAAATTAAACACGAAGAAACACAAGCTACCTAACAAAATTAATTGCAGCATCTGAATATTTTGAAGAGCATTGGTCCTGGTTTTTTATGGGGTTCGTGTTGCTCAGTCTTCAGTTCTCCATGTTGTGTTTTGTAGACTATTGTTTGTCATTTGTCGATTTCAGCTTTGGCGGTTGTCACTTTGTCCTTGACTTATGAGTTTGAATGTCCTTTCGGTATCTTCTGCCTCTATTGCACAATTAAGTGGCTTAAAAGTTGCATGTTTACACAATGTGGAGTTAGGGTTTGCTGAGCGCCTACACATATTTATTATTTCGCCACACACTTAATGTGGTTGTCGTTGTGTAGTTTTTTCTTTCGTTCTTTCTTCTCCTTATGAATAAATGTGGAAGTGGGTCTATATCATTCATACAACTACCCAGCAATTAAAAAGGGACATAGAAAGAGGTTAACATCACGCCGTCTTCGACAACAGACATGCGTTTATACAGTATGACACGCTTGAAATCTCCAGTCTTTATATGAGGGTCTGGATGGGGGGTTTACAGAATAGAGGATAATGGGCAAACAATATAAAGAATAGAGAAAAATTGACCAAAATTATAAAGAATAGAGAATAATGAGGTGCTAAAATATAAAGAAAAGAGAATAATGGTCAAAACGTTAGAAGAATAGAGAAAAATTTAAGAATACAGAAATGAAGGACCCCCATCCAGACTCTCATAAATAGAAAGAATCTTTAAGATAGTTCTAAAAACTACACATGTAGGGGTCCTAATTGGGGATGGGCAAATGAACATATGGTGAGGTTTAAATATAATTTTTTAATATAAATCCTCATTCTATTTGTCTCGACCAGTGGAATAGGGAATTGTCCATAAAAGATAAACTTTCATACATCATATCATTTTTAAAATGCGTGTAGTCTGTCAATCCGGCAACATCTGGACTGTTTATGTCATAAATGGTGTACTAAACAAAACTGGACTAGTCAACTGATCGAGCGGTCAGATCTATGCGTCATATGTTGACATATTTACTTGTTTGTAATGATTATATTTTGACAACAAATCATTAACCATATCGATCAGGTGCGAGATAAACAGATTTATAGATCATAAACATGAAACAATAACAAAAAGTATGGTCACGCTAACCTTAAGTCATTGTTTCATTCATACATTTAATCCTGATTTGTGCCAGAGTTCATTCTGTTTGACGACACTTTGATACGAGTGTCTTTGCCCTGAAAATCGATAACACGTGACCATTTATAGACGTATTATTGGTTACAAGTTATGTCTGTCTTCCTAAACAATCACAATCCAGTGAAAGCAAGCTGTTACAATAGGTTGTCAATAATTGACTTTATGCAAAGCTTCCTTTGCAGTAGAGAGTCCTACTTTTGAAACGGTTAGTACTTGTCCAAAAGGCAAGACTATTGGCTTATTTATAAAAGAAGATGTGATATACATATCATTATCAATGATATGGCAACCCAACGACACAAAAAAGACATCTAGTGGTCATTATACGGTCTTCAACAATACAAAAAGTTAAACTCTAAATCGCCCGTAGTCTGGAAAACATGATGACTACTGTCAAACGAGTCACACTTCAATTATACAAATAAACAAATATATATCAGGAATTGAACAGACACATGCTCTCTTTTCAGCATCCAAAAATGGCAACTGCATTGCATACTAATATATGTAGTATTAACACAATCAAATTATAAAAGCAAAAACAAAATAACTAAAACGAGAGACAAAGTAAAAACAAAAACAATGCATTGTAATGGAACAAAGACATGGATATTCTATAGCATTGTCCCAAGATGAAACAAAACGATTATTTGTTGATGTACTGTTTCGATCTTGTAAGATTTTCTGTCGGAAATTTCTGGTTTCTTTAGGTCCAATGACATACTCTAGTCATGATTTTAGAGATTATTGAAATGAATTGAAGAATTTTCATTTGTTTTAATTAAAAAGAAAAAGCTCGTTTTTTGTCTATAAATTTTTTTTGAAATATGATAATAATAGAAAATAGCACTTACTTGAATTTAACGTTTTTGCAGAAATAAATATAATCTTATGATTAAATTTTACAATCCAAAGTTGTCTTGGAAGTGACAAACATTAGCATTTAAAAGTCCTTCTTATTACGGATCACGACTATTAACTTTTATAATGAAAACAAACAAATTAGAGGCTTTAGTATAGTTTTGACAGGAAACCGAGGTGAAAAGTCATTATTCTGGTATACAGAAGTTGTAGAAACAATACCATTTTACTCTATCTATCTTGATTAATTGTGGAAATAAGACCAGTCAGATACACCCAAGAACCTGTTATAATTTCTCACAGGGCGTGGGATTATCGTAGTTCTGTACTGTTGTGTTTTACTTCAAGAAATGTAACTTTCCTATCAATCATAAACTTGAAGGATAAATGTGTTTTCAGCAGTAGCAGTTAACTATTTTCTACTGAGTTTAAATCTATAAAAGTGTGCAATTGCACCAAGCGAGACATATAATGCACACTTCGAATGATATAATTACTTGTTAGATGATGCCGGACGTTAACAGATGAATCACTGCAAAAAAGTACAGATTGACAGTATTTTGTATAGCTCCATGTAATATTCATGCACTAAATGATACATGGGGTTCAGCTGGTTATGTTCGCGGCCAAAAACACCAAAATTGTATAGCCAAATCCGGACAAATAACCAGAGCTCTGCATGAGGGAGACACATTCCTTGATTCAAAAATTATTTCCTTAATTGTATAACAGCAAATATAAAAAAAAAAACTATATCAGTATTTTCATCCCAATCCAAAAGTACTGAGCTACTGGGCTTGTGATACACTCAGGGACTGACGGTCAACCTCTACTGGTCTATATCTTTAGACATAGCGGTGGTGATACCATTAACTGTTTTATTTTTGCTCATTTCGACAACTGATGTCTCCTCAATGATACTCGGGGCCGAAATATTAGAAAATTCAAGACTTATACAAACGTTCAAGAGCTGTTCAAACAAAACAAAAACACAATGTATAGCCAAATCAGATGCTGTTCTTGAGGGAGATACATTCCTTAATTTAAAAATATTTCCTTAATCTTAAAACAGCAAATTTCAATAGAATAATTCCCGTATATTCATGCCAATACCGAAGTACTGAACTATTGATGAACTGACGATACCTTCGAGGACTACCAGTCCACCAGCAGAGATAAAGACCCAGTGTAATTAAACATTAAAGGTAACAATTGAGTTGATAGCTGAACCAGAAGCGCATTTTGACATTTATTATCTCTTCAGTGATGCTTGAGGCCAAAATGTTTGAAAATTCAAAGCCTAATGCAATCGTTGATTACTAAAAAGGGTCAAAATGCAAAGTCAATTTTGAAAAGGAATGTAAACTATGTATAAGGGAGATACAGTTCTAAATTCAAATTTCTTTCCTCAATTTTAAAACAGCAAATTAAAATAAAAACAATATCCGTATTTTCATGTACCAGTACCTAAGTATACTGAGCATCTTAAAACTATTCCAGCTGATAAAATGTCTTATTTCACGTTGAAGTTATACGTAAGAACCGAGTTCGATTGAAATAGTCATCAAAGACACCAGGCTTATAGTTTAGCATTCCCGACGCGCGTTTCGTCTACATGAGACTCGTTCACCAGTAGCTGTCGGATAAAATCAATTGCAGGTCCAAATCAATATCGAAAAGCACCAAAAACAAATAAATTCCAAAAAAGTGTGCCGAATCAATCTGCCGGTTTTATAGTTAAAAGACTATATATGCCAAGGGAAAAAACCTAAGAGTTACGAATGAATTTAAGAATTGTTTCTTCCTTACCTCTCTGTTATCTCGAGAATAAAGTTCAGAATAGAGAAAAAGTTATAATTGTTTACACAGTTAAGTATCCAATATCACTAAAATTTGAGTCGAATATTAAGTTAAGTTGTCACTGCTGAAAAAAACCTTTTTTTTTTTGTATTCCAGAAAGAACAATATTCGACAGTTAACTTCAAAATGGATGAACCCGTATTACACATATGATATCATTTGTAGAATTAAGATCATTGTTTTAGTGATATACTTACCCACTTTTAATTTATCGTTAAGTAAACCTAAGAAGTAGAAATATTTGTTGAAATGGGCATATACACGACAATCCCTTGATAAGGATAAATTTGTTTATAATAAGGCATTAGATGAACTAATCATAGGGTTTCATATATTAAATGGTCATAGTAAGAGATTAGCATGGTATTTCTGTTACTCATACACTTGTTTAACTGACCATCAAAATTGACACTCAAACTGCCCACTA